TGCTGAGATCCCACACTCTCCAAAAGGGAGCTGGGCACAAAGGAGCAGAGTCAGGCAGGAGTTCCAAAGCAGTTCAGTGTGGATCAGAGCTGGGCACAGCGGCCTCAAGGCAGGCCTGCAGGGAATGAGGGCAGGAAGGGACTTTGCTCCCTGAGCTGTGTGTGCTGACTCAAATGCAGGGATGCACACCTTGCCTTTGCTGTTCTGAGACTTTACAGGCCAGTAATAACTTCTTAATTATCAACTGAACCAGCAGCTGTGGGGGAGAGCAAGGCAAAATATTGATGAGCCATTTCTCTGGGCTAAGCAATTCTCTTCTATTTACCGGCCCTTTGAAAAGCAGTGAAGTAAATCGAAGTGTGATTCTGTGTGTCAGGAAAATGGAGAGGAACTGGGCTGTGAGATGAATGCCTGAGTAGCTGTTTCTATTTTTATTTCAGGGATGGGAATCGGGTTTCTTTTCCCCCCCCTTTGCTTTGAAGCAGTTAATGGGTGAGGTTGTGAGCACTCATCAGATCCTCAAGCTGCTCAGGCAGTTCCAGCTACTGCTGCTTTGTAATGCCAGAGGGGGAATTGGATGCTGGCAGAGCCCTTAAATTGGGATGATCAGGGAGGTTAATAGCAGCCCAGTGCTGCCTGTTTGCTGGTTTCCTCTTGAAGGCAATAATGCATTTAAAAATGGCATTATTTATAATAATTGCACTTGGTGTGATTCTGTGGCAGGGGTTGGATACACACAAACACTGCTGGGGCTCAGCCTGGAAATGCCACAGGGCTCCCTCAAAGGGACGTTTGTGCATTGCCATCCCCTTTCTGAGCTAAAACCAGCCTGGATCAAGAAAATCAGTCAGGTGTATTAATAGCAGCAGAGCCTGGAGTGCTGTTTGAGTTGCTGCCTTTCCTGGGATGGGCTGGTGCTGATGGATGGGTACAGACACTCACAGACCCTCTCTTCTCCCAGGTTATTCCTCTGCACCTCCCACCTGCTTTTTCTTCTGTGGAAATTTTTCATCTGCACCATACGGCAGAAATCAAATCCAGTCCCTGAAAGGTGAGGTCCTTGCAAACAGCCAGACATGTGCACTGAATTAAAATCATGCTGGCAAACAAATGAAGAGAGCAGAAAAGAAACCCTTTCAGCAGAGGGGGAATCCACCCAAGGTGTGTTTATTTGTTTATTTGTTTATTTCTAACCAGGTGTTGTCCCTGCTTTTCCCAGGTTCCTTGAAGGCTCTGGCAGACATTATATGTGAATATCCCAGCATCCACCAAAGGTACAGAGCAAGGGGAAATCTGTTTATTTTGTGAAGCCTTTCATTGCTGGCAGAAGCTGAGAGTTACCCTGTTTTCTGTGTCTTGTGAGGCAGCTGTGATCAGATAAAAAGCTGCTTTGGTAACAGGCCTGCAGCTTTGTTTGGAGCAGGGTGAGCTTGATTTTATCTAAAATAGCTTGGGCATGGAAAGTGCTAATGAGGGAGCCAAGGCTTCCCCCTGGGATACTTCCCTGGCTCCTGCTCTCTGAATTCAGAGCATCAGACCCAGTTTTTAAATCAGTTTATACAAAAGTGATTTGTTAAACTTCTTTTTTTTTTCTGTTTTTTTTTTTTTGCAGTAGCCGATTTGTGTTTGTCCCTGGTCCTGAAGATCCTGGGCCTGGTTCCATTTTACCAAGGTCAGTTTGCTTCCCTTCCTCACATCTTGGAATTTTGAGTGAAATTTGAGTTAAAGATGGTAAGAGTCTTTGTTGATACCTCTGTTATTTATTTTAGGCCTCCCCTGGCTGAAAATATCACTCAGGAATTCAGACAGCTGGTGCCATTTTCAGTTTTCACCACAAATCCCTGCAGGTAACCGTGTAACTGCTAATTTTTTAAATAAATTATGTGCAAATATAATTTTCAAAGCCTATAAATTTTGAGGAAAATTTGCCTTAAATTTTTCAAATTAATAGAACTCTTCACTTTCATGAATTGTAACTAGTTTTAAATGCACTAAGACATAAAAAAAATCAGTGAAGAAATGAAGTAGTGCTAAAAAATGATATTTAATATATAAGGGATAGTATTATTTTCATTCAGTTGTCTGTATTAGAGGGAGATCAGCTTTCTAATTCATCTCCCTCATTTTCAGGTTCACCTGAATTAATTTCCCTGCTGTTTTCCCTCAGGGTTCAGTACTGCACCCAGGAAATCATTATTTTCCGGGAAGATTTGGTCAACAAAATGTGCAGGAACTGTGTTCGCTTCCCAAGCAGCACCATGGACATTCCCAACCATGTGAGTGAGTTAATTCACAATTTTTGCCAAGATTTTTGATTTTATTGCTCAGCAGGGCTGCATTTTGGGGGCTCTGATGCTCATTTTTGTGCCACACTGCATGAATAACCCAGAGGGGTTGTGAGAAGGATTTATACATTGAGAATTCTTGTTTTTCGTGACATTTTGGCAGCAAATAACTCAGACCATGATAATTTAAGGTGGGATTGAGTGATTCTGTCACAGTGGAGCTGCCCTCCAACCCTCAACGTCCTGCCAAGATTCCTAAAGGCAAATTTGAATGGAAATTACCATTTTTTTAAAGATTTGATTGGTTCCCCAGTGCCATTTGCAGTAAAGCAGCAAATTCCTCTAAAATTCATCTGCTTGTTTTGTCTCCTCAGCTTGAAATTGAAATTCTGCTTCTCACCCATCAGTGAGCTCTGGGTTGTGGTGGCACTCAATGAATCCACAGCAGGAGCTGGGGGGATTTACTGAAATAATGGGGTGAGAAGCATCCAGGTGGTGCTGGCTGATGGCAGTGATGGATGGAGAATGGTTTTATTTATTTTACACGAGGTTTTTGTGGTTTTTTTGCCTCAGAAAGGTGTTTTTGCTGAGTGTTTCTGTGAACACCCCATGGACACTGAGCTGCCTTGGTTTTGTGGGATTCACATCCCTGACACTTCCCTGTCCTCATCCAGGCCTCTCCAGGAAGGAAAATGTAAAATTGCAGCACTTCCTGCACGTTGTTTTTTGCACACTCCACTTTTCCTTTTTGGCCTATTTGAATTCAGCCATCAGTGGGAAAAAAAAAATAAAAAACAAGAGAGAGGGAAATTTTGTCCCAAAGAAAGGAAAATCATCTGGGAATCAAATTATTTCTTCAGTTCAGGGAAAAGACTTTTTAAGTGTGGTTAACTGGAAAGCAGTAAGGAAAATAAAAGCCAAAAAATTGAGAGTTGTGGCAGTGTTGGTGCTTTCTGGGCTGGAGGATTCTCCTGGAGAGTCTGATTGATGAGATAATTGTGACATTTCAAATCCTGGCCTTTAAAAAGGCTTTTTTATTAAAATTATTAAAACCCCACAGCTGAAGAAAGGAAGGAGCAGCTCACTGCTTTACTCTAGAAATCATTAATTTCTAATTCTAAATAATTAGCAGGAATGAGATGCAAAAAACCCCAAACATTTCCAGTTTTAAAAACTTTAAACTTTAACTCTTTATTAACCCACACTGACATGTGCAGGGGTGAACTGAGCTTGCAGCAAATGCTTCAAACCAAGATTTGTGGGGTTTTATTTGCAGTTTGTGAAGAGCATATTATGCCAGGTGTAATNGGCATCACCAGGTTGCTCCTTGGAGCCTTTGTTCTCATGGCTGGGCCTCCAGGGGCCCTGAACAGAACCTGGAATTCTGGAATTCAGCTCCTGGGGTTGTGCTGGGTGTGCTGCAGGTGGAATATTAACCAACACTTCTGGCCATGCTTTATTTGCTTTGCTCTAGATGAAAGTTATCTCAAGTTGCTTTTGTTCCTTTCTTTTCTGAAAGCACTTTGGAGAAGTTTTCCTCTGGGGTGCCTGCTCCTGCTTTTGTGTTTAGTTTTTTGAAGCCCTGATTGATTTCCCTTCTGTGATAACAAAGTGTGGAGCAATTACTGGAGTTTCTGAGAACATTTTGATGCTGATGGATGTGTTTCCTTTCGTGTTCACATCATTGATGCAGGGCATGAAAAGAGATGGTTTGCTGGGCATGTCAATTAGATCCTGTCATCCCCCGTCTCTCAGGATGGAGAAAATTTGGGTTTAGCTTTGCTCCTTGCCATTGGAATCTTTATGATGCAGATGGTGTGAGGGTGACTCTTCTTTGTGGTGCTTTTTTATACTCAGTGTAGGTTTTTTCTGCTCCAGAAGTGAAGAGAAATCCATTTGTACAGATTCTCAGTGCAGAGTCCTGAAGGGAAAAACTCTACAGATCACAGGGACAAGTCTTTTTCATTATTTAACTGAAAGATGAAGAAGAAAATAGACTAGAAAATAGACTAAGAAATAGAAAAGAAAATAGAAAGAGAAGTGGTGATGATAGTGAACAACACAATTTGTCATTTGTTTCACCCACTTCATGGATTAACAGAGGGGTTTTGCTTGGAAGGTAACACTCAGTTAACGCTGTCACTGTTCTTATTTCAGAGAAAATGTTTTCAACATTATTGGAGCCTTTGACATCCCACGTTTTATTTATAATTCAGAAAGAAAGAAGTTTCTGCCGTAAGTCCCTCGTATTTTAAATTTCAAGCACTTCCTCTTTTAAGAACAAAACCTCTACAGGATAAGTCTGGTTTTAATCTTTCCCTCTTGGCTCTGTTCAGCTGAAGCCTGAGTGAGAAAAGTAATAAATGTTTAAGACCATAAACCAAGTTTATTCCACCTAATGAATAAAAAAGACAGTAAGGCTAAGGTCATACATCACCAAAGGTAGTTTGGGGTTATTTTTTTTTCTCACATTGGGCTGTTTAAATTTATTTTTTTAATAAATTTGATCAGTCTGTTGCCTGTATCTATTTCTTAATCTGTATCTTGCAGCTCCCTGAAGCCCTGGGGGGTTTCTAAGGAGAGCTCCTAACAGTAACAAAGAAAAATTAGGAGCAGCTGGTGAGAAACTGCAGGAATAATGCTTTTGTTCACAACTGCTTAAAGGCATAACTGCTTTTTTTACAATGGATTTCTGCAGAGGTCTCTTTGGGTGGAAGGATAAATCTCAAGGCCTGTGGGTTAGAGGGGAATGAAATGGAGGCAGAAATGCAGAAACTCAGGAATGTGCCTAAATCAGGGTCCAGCTTTTGCAGCCTCGCAGGCCGTTGAGATCAGGAACTCCTCTTGCTGTGGGAATATCCCTGTGTGACGCTGGGGTTGTGTTGGTTCCCTGCAGCCTGGCCATGACTGACCTGCCCAGGCCGAGTTTGTTTGGGACTGCCCGGGACAAGGCGGAGCTGTTCCGGGAGCGCTACAGCATCGTGCAGCAGGTGAGAGCAACGGGAGGGAGCCTGATCCTCCCAGAAACACACCCTGTTCCTTCCAGAAACACAGCCTGCACCCTGCTCCTTCC